CACGTGACCACGGAAACGTCTTCGGACAGCGCTGGCTCTTCGGCTTTGAAACGGCGATGAGCACCGCAACCCTAGAGTCGGACTCGACTGGCTTTCGAGCAAGGGAAACCTTTACCTTTACTAGCTCACACTAACTCAGCTTAGAGGGAACACTTCGCCATCAGTCCTCGGGGCAGAAGAGGACGCGAACGGGTTGTGCTCGAGACAGGCCCGCTTCTTTCCCAAGGCCTCTGACGGACGCCCACTGTGTCCCTGGCAGAGTGCCCGCACCCAGGGCCTGTGATTTGTTCAGCTGTGCCTGTCTGTCTTGCGTCAAGCTCACCCCAGGCCACTGTGTTGGGGGCTGAACACAAATACGTGCCCTGGCGGACGTCCGGCCTGTGAGGAATCTCCGCCGCTTTCCACTCCCTGCCTCAGAGGGATCGGGTGGCGGCTCTGTATTTAGCCTGGCCGAAAGCCTTGCCCGTTTGGCCGAGAGCGGGCGGATTGTCTCCGAGAACGTGCTCGGTGCCAGGGCCTAGAAGGTTACCTGTGGGCAGGCTTTGAGGAGAGAGCCAGGGCACAGTTGTGTGGCAGGACAGGGAGAGGGAAAAGCCGCAGTACCCCTTTTGCCTCAGCCGAGAGCTGCCTTCTCACTCTCCTGTTCTTCAGAACCCCTTTGCTGGAACTAGCCCTGCTGGAACTAGTGGTTTCCGGCCTCCTTGTGGGGCCTGGAGATGTCCCAGAATTATGACTTATCTCCAGATGGCACTGACCAGTTCCCCTGGAGGAAATGGCGGCATCTGAGGTAACACAGTTGGGGCCTGGAGCTCTCGTGGAAATGTACACGCAGCTAGGTTTGGACAGAGCCTTGACCAGATGGGATGAGGGAAGAATGGACAAAGACGCTATGGCGTCACATCCAGGGGTCATTTCGTAGAAAAAGAGGTGCAGGAGCTCATTAGCATAACTCATTCGCACAACTCATTTGCATAGGCCACGCCCCCGGACATCACCAGAAGTGTGTCAGGAGGCAACACCCACCGCTCAGGCTCCACTGGACTGTTTGGGATTGCTAGCTAGTGGGGGGGGAACGTGCAGATCTGCCCTCGCAGAGGAGGGAGAGCTTGTCCCTGAATAAAACTTGGTCTTAAAGGTGCCACTGGACTCTTTTGGATTGCTAGCTGTTGGGGGGGGGACGTTGTCAGCGAGCTGCCATTTCTTTGGGACAAGCCTCGTCCCTTTCTCCTCCCCGCCCCTCCCTTACTCCTGTAGTTGTTATCCTCTCCATGTGGTGCATCTGTAACTGCCAAGGTTCTCCAGCTGGTGGGATAGGGTGTTGTGTCTTTCTGCTCTGGCTTGTTTAGTATTCCCGTGTGAACTCAACTTGTGTTTATGGAACTGGCCGTTGCTGTTCTCATACTGCTTCGCGCCTTTTCTAATCTGCAACCTAACGAGGGAAATGAGCTCATTGGTTTGAACCTGGTTTGAAGTTCCTTTAATACACCGTCCCTGGCTCTTGTAGTTATTCCTAACAATCTCTGTATGTTCATGATCGACCAAGCTTTGGAAATAAATCTTACTTCTTTTTGAACGTGGGTCTATTCTCCTGATTTGGGATCTAACAGACGTGCAGATCTGTCCTCGCAGAGGAGGGAGAGCTTGTACCTGAATAAAACTTGGTCTTAAAGGTGCCACTGAACTGTTTTGGACCGGGGGGAGCTCTGCAACTTACCTGGCTGCTTCTTGCTCTGATTGAGGGCTGCTGGGAGCAGGGGGCGGGGCTTGTTGCATGTGCCCGCCCCCTGGGCTCCTTACTGCTGGAGCTCCGCTCCTGTGCGCTCCCGCAGGAGATGACCCCTGGTCACATCTCTGCTCATCCTAAGCTCCACCCTCCCCAGGCTCCACCCCCAAATCTCCAGGCATTTTTCTACCCAGAGTTGGTAACCTTAGATGTCCCACCCCTGCTGGAATTCCTCAGACACTGACCCCCGGTGAGGTCCACTGCCGGAGGCCCTCAAGCCCCAGAAGGTCGAACCAATGGGTTGAAATTAAATCAGAAGAGTTTTCGGTTAAACATTGGGAAGAACTTCCTGACAGTCACGGTTCCTCAGGGGGACAGGCTTCCTCGGGAGGCGGTGGGCTTTCCTCCTTGGGAGGTTTTTAAGCAGAGGCTAGATGGCCATCGGACAGCCATGTGGATTCTGTGAACTTAAGCAGGTCACGAGAAGGGAGGGCGGGAAGGGTCGCCTCAGTGCTTAGTTCTCGTGGCCCTTTCTTACACGCCCAGGGAAATGCCGACCGCCACTTTGGGGTCAGGAAGCCTTTTATCTCCAGGCCAGTTTGGGCAGGGATCCAGGAGGGGTTGTTTGCCCACTTCCGGGCATGGAACAGGGGTCACTGGGGGTGTGTGGAAGGGGAGGTATTTGTGAATTCCCTGCCTTGAGCAGGGGGGTTGGACTAGATGACCCTGGAGATCCCTTCCAACTCTATGATTCTAAGCTGTGCCAGTCTAGTCAGGCACTCAGTGATCCCCGTCTGCCGCTCCTTTTAGCCCGTTCAAGATCAAGGTCCTCCCGGCCCACGACGCCAGCAAAGTGCGAGCCAGCGGTCCGGGCCTCAATGCCTCCGGCATTACTGCCAGCCTTCCTGTGGAGTTCACCATCGATGCCCGGGATGCGGGTGAGGGTCTCCTCACGGTACAGATCCTGGTGAGTACTAGGCTTACACATGGTAGATTTGAGGTGTGTGTTAAGACAGGACATCGTCCCCAGGTGCAAGATGTTGGGAAGGAGAGTTGCCAACCTCCAGTGGAGGCCTAGAGCTCTCCTGGAATGGCAGCTGACCTCCAGCGGACAGAGGTCAGTTCCCCTGGAAGAAATGGCTGGTTTGGAGCGTGGACTCCCAAATCCCCACATACTTCTCAACCTGGAGCTGGCAGCCCTAGTGGAAAGAGATGTTGGAAGTACAGTGGTAGTTTCTAGGATGAGAGGGGCAGAGACAGATGTCTAGAATTCTGATTTAGAAGCATCTCGTCTACCTAATCCAAGAACTATACCAGGTTGCTCAGTGGTGAAGGGGGGGGGTCTGCCTTCTGCATATGCTCAGAGGCTCTCTTTGCATGAGCCCTGGGGCTGAAAAGGGTTCTGGGACAGAGCCTGTCAGTGTGCCTGGAGTGCAGGAGACAGACAGAATCAGCCCTGGACCCTCCTCCTCAATACCACAATGTGGGTGCAACTTATCACTATCTATCTATCTATCTATCTATCTATCTATCTATCTATCTATCTATCTATCTATCTATCTATCTATCTATCTATCTATCTATCTGAAAATAAAGAGATAATATAAAGAAAATACAGGAAAGAAAAAAAGATTGTATATCATAATTATTGATATTGAACTTGGATAACAAAGAGATAATATAAAGCAAACAGAGAAAAGAAAAAAAGATTATATATCATAATTGTTGATATCGAATGTTGATAACAAAGAGATAATATAAAGAAAACACAGAAAAAAGAAAAAGATTGTATATCATAACTATTGATATCGAATGTGGATAACAAAGAAATATAAAGAAAAGACAGAAAAGAAAAAAAGATTATATATCATAATTATTGATATTGAATGTGGATAACAGACATAATATAAAGAAAACACAGAAAAGAAAAAAGATTATATATTATAATTATTGATATCGAATGTGGATAACAGAGATAATATAAAGAAGACACAGATAAGAGAAAAAGACTGTATATCATAATTATTGATATCGAATGTGGATAACAAAGAGATAATATAAAGAAAACACAGAAAGGAGAAAAATATTGTATATCATAAGTATTGATATCCAATGTGGATAACAAAGAGATAATATAAAGAAAACACAGAAATGAAAAAAGATTATATATCATGATTATTGATATCCAGTGTTTATGCAACTTTTGATTGAGCGAGTTTCCTGCAGCAAGCACTTCCGTATACAGCGAAGCACAGACTGGCCAGTGACTGTGCCACCACCAACCCCATGCCCCCTTTCTGTCTCACAGGACCCCGAGGGTAAGCCGAAAAAGGCCAACATTCGGGACAACGGAGATGGGACCTACACAGTCTCTTACTTGCCGGACATGACTGGACGCTATACCATCACCATCAAATACGGCGGTGACGAGATCCCCTATTCGCCCTTCCGTATCCACGCCCTCCCTGCCGGGGATGCCAGCAAGTGCCTGGTCACAGGTGAGCAGTGAGTCCCAGAAGCCCCTTGTTTAGCCCCCAAACTCCCAGCTACCTCCCAGAGAGGAGGAGTCAGTTGCCGAATCCCTCGCTGTCTTCTGGTCTTCCTCCATGGAGGGGGTATATCCCACCCAGCTAATTTCTCTTCTCCTCTCCCTGGGATTCTACTGGCAACTCTGGGTGATTCTGCATTGGCTTTTCCTTCCATTGTTTTACGAAACCCACGTTGGAACAGAAATTCCCCTCTGCATTGCATGCAGCTTTCGCTTTCTTTGATCACCGGGTTTTATGGTACCCTCCACACTGCATGCCACTTTCGCTTCCTTTGATAATCGGATTTTACGGAACCCTCCACACTGCATGCCCCTTTCGCTTCCTTTGATCATCAGGTTTTACGGAACCCTCCACACTGCATGCCCCTTTCGCTTCCTTTGATCATCGGGTTTTACGGAACCCTCCGCACTGCATGCCACTTTCGCTTTCTTTGATCACCGGGTTTTATGGTACCCTCCACACTGCATGCCACTTCCGCTTTCTTTGATCATCGGATTTTATGGTACCCTCCACACTGCATGCCGCTTTCGCTTCCTTTGATCATCCGATTTTATGGCACCGTCTGCATAGATTTATGGCTGTTCAGGGGTGACTTTGCGGTCAGTACCGTGTCGCCACAAGGTATTTGAATGTGGTTTTGAGCTGCACTTTTTCCTCCCAGTTGAGAAAATGTGGAGTGAACGCCGGATGCAGAATCGCCTTTCATCTGCAGGAGGGCTTTTTCTTGGATGGGGAAGGTCCGGGGGCGGGGAGGCAGTTTAGAACGTAGTGCTCAGAGAAAAGGCACCGACTGGCCCGAATGTTTTAACTCTGGAAGCCCCCGATCCCCTCTTCCTGCCTTGTTTTCTGGCAAAACCTTTTGGGTCTATAGCCGCTTCTGAACAGGTAAACATTCAACCGGTGGAGCTCTCTTGATTGCTGCCCCTCTGTGGCATGGAAAGCTGCACCTGATGCATTTCCGTCTACTGCTCGTGAATTCTGCCTGGCGGAGGAAGGTGCATCGGATCCCCCCTCCCCCACCGCCGCCCTGTTTCATACACAACTGGACTTCCCTGGACAGGTTCCTTCTCACGTGCCGGACATCGCCACTCAACTCTGCTGCTCTCCCCGATGCCCCGTAGATGTCCCCACCCCCTCCCCCTCCCGTCCCCACGGCCCCGATTCCCTTTCTGGGTCTAAGCAACAGCTGCAAAGGCAAGACCTCACGGCTACTTCCTTCTCTCTCTCTCTGCAGTGTCCATAGGAGGCCACGGATTGGGTAAGTACCCGTGGGACATCTGGTGTGGGCCTTGGGGGGAGAATTGACACCGGGCCTGCCTCCTCCTTTTGACATCTGCCCCTCCTTCCCCCCCACCCCCCAAGTTTTCAAAAGTTCATACTTCCCTAGAGGCTATGGGGGGCAGGATGACAGACCTTTTCAGACCTTCCCGCCTCCCTCCTTTTCTAGCTTAGCCTGTTCCATATATAGACATGATTCATTTATTTATTTACCTCATTTATTCCCCGCCTTTCTGCCCAGTGGGGACCCAAAGCTGCGGACATTCTCCTCGATTTTATCCTCACAACAACCCTGTGGGGTAGGTTAGGCTGAAAGAGACTGGTGACTAACCTTCCAAGCAAGGTGGGGAACCGAACCCGGGACCCTTCTGATCCTTCCACAGTGCCGCTCTGGGTCTTGACCGGTGTTCCCGCTAAGCTGAGTTAGTGTGAGCTAACTCACAGTCTTTTAGCCTCCAGCTCACACATTTTTGTCTCGGCTCAGGAAGGGATGGCTCCGGAGCAAACTGATTTATGCAGCAGCCAAATCGCTGGCTCACAACTTTAAGGCCAGTAGCTCACAAAGCAGAAGTTTTGCTCACAAGACTCCACAGCTTAGAGGGAGCATCGGTCTTGACGTGACTTCCCCGCTGGTCTTCATGATTCTTCCACTCCCCTTACGACCAGTGTTCCCTCTGAGCTGAGTTAGTGTGAGCCAGCTCACCGTTTTTTAGCCTCCGGCTCACACATTCTTGTCCCAGCTCGGGAAGGAGGGCTCCGGAACCAACTAATTTATGCAGCAGGCCCAATCGCTCGCACACGGCTTTCATGCCGGCAGCCCACAAAGTAGAATGTTTGCTCACAAGACTCCACGGCTTAGAGGGAGCCTCGCTGACGACCTTCCTTTCCGCCTGCAGGGACCTGCCTGGGCCCCACCATCCAGATTGGGGAGGAGACGGTGATCACCGTGGACGCCAAGGCGGCGGGGAAAGGGAAGGTGACCTGCAAGGTGTCCACGCCGGACGGGGCGGAGCTCGACGTCGACGTGGTGGAGAACCACGACGGCACCTTCGACATCTACTACACGGCCCCCGAGCCCGGCAAATACGTCATCACCATCCGCTTCGGGGGCGAGCAGATCCCCAACAGCCCCTTCCACGTGGTGGTGAGTCTGGGATGAGACCGGGATGTGGGGGTTAAGAACATAAGAACATAAGAGAAGCTGATGTTGGATCAGGCCAGTGGCCCATCCAGTCCAACACTCTGTGTCACACAGTGGCCAAGAATACCAGGGGCCATCAGGAAGGTCCAGCAGTGGGGCCAGGACACTAGAAGCCCTCCCAGTGTTGCCCCCCAAGCACCAAGAAGACAGAGCATCCCTTGCCCCAGACATAAGAACATAAGAGAAGCCCGTGTTGGATCAGGCCAGTGGCCCATCCAGTCCAACACTCTGTGTCACACAGTGGCCAGAAACACCAGGTGCCATCAGGAGGTCCAGCAGTGGGGCCAGGATACTAGAAGCCCTCCCAGTGTTGCCCCCCCCCCAAGCACAAAGAATGCAGAGCATCCCGAGCCCCAGACATTAGAACATAAGAGAAGCCAATGTTGGATCAGGCCAATGGCCCATCCGGTCCAACACTCTGTAACACAGTGGCCAAAAATACCAGGTGCCCTCAAGCATCCCTTGCCCCAAAGCCCCTATCTATACCTTGTGGCTAATAGCCACTGATGGACCTCTGCTCCATGTGCCTATCTTGCCTCGGCCAAGCTCAGTCCGTTGACCCCCTAAAACCAGCCCCTGTGGCAGAGGAGGCGGTTCAGACTTCTAGGAAGCAGCTTGGCAGGAAGGTGGAGGAAGGACGCCTTTGCCTTCTGGCAGAACCTGCAGGCAGAAAGTTGGGGAAGACGTGGGGCCTAGCAGAGGTCCAACAGTGGCTCTTAGCCACAAGGTCTAGATGGAACACTCTGTCTGGGGCAGTGATGCTCTGTATCCTTGGTGCTTGAGGGGCAACAATGGATGGGCTTCTGGAGTTCTGGCCCTGCTGGTACTCCTGATGGGACCTGGGTTTTGGCCACCGTGTGACACAGAGTGTCGGACTGGATGGGCCACTGGCTTGATCCAACATTGGCTTCTCTTATGTTCTTATAGATGGAACACTCTGTCTGGGGCAGTGATGCTCTGTCTTCTTGGTGCCTGGGGGGCAACAGGGGGAGGGCTTCTGGAGTTCTGGCCCCGCTGGTGGACCTCCTGATGGCACCTAGGTTAGGGCCACTGTGTGACACAGAGTGTTGGTCTGGAGAGACCACGACTTGATCCAGCATGGCTTCTCTTACGTTCTTATGTCTGGGGAAGTGATACTCTGTCTTCTTGGTGCTTGGGGGGCAACAGTGGGAGGGCTTTGGGAGTTCTGGCCCCACTGGTGGACCTCCTGATGGCACCTGGGTTTGGGCCACTGTGTGACACAGAGTGTGGGACTGGATGGGCCATTGGCCTGATCCAACATGGGCTTCTCTTGTGTTCTTAAATAGGGTTGCCAGGAAGTGGAAAATGGTGGGAAGACTGTAGACCAGAAATTTGGGGACGGGCCGCAGCATCACACTACTTCTGGTTTAAAAAAAAAATGGAATTGACATAGGTATCTCTAGGAATCACTGGGAACTCTATGATAAGATCATAGTTCCCAGAGATTACTAGAGCTACCCTATGCCACTTCCTTTTCTAAATCAGAAGTGACGTGATGCTGCAGCTGGTGTGGTCGTTTCCCCTGCTCCGCCCTGTTGAAAGGACCCGGCTGGAGGTGATGCGAAAGACCTCCGCCTGAGACCCCGGAGAGCCGCTGCCAGTCCGAGTAGACAATATTGACCTCGAGGGACCGAGAGTCTGATTCATTATAAGGCAGCTTCGTGTGTGTGTGTTCATGTGAGAGGGACTTGGTGTCCACCTTCTTGGCTCTCGTTGCCTGCAGAGTCTAATGCTGCTTATCGGTCACAATTGGAAGGGGGCAGGGTGACCTCTCCGGACTAGAGATGTAAAATTTCCGGAAATTTTGAAGCTCGGAAAAAAACCCTGTTTTTTTCCAGGGGGAAACGGAAATTTTCAGAAAAAAATGAAAAAAATGCTACATTAGCCTTTCTTTTGCCTTTTCTAGATTGAAAGTCATTCTGTTACTTTAGGAACATAAAATATGACTATGGACATTTTGACTTGGCATGAAATTATCACAACTAGCATATTAAAAAATATAGTGTATCCACACAATTATTACAAACAGAATACCCACATGCAAAAACAAAACTGAAACCTTTTTATTTTATATAT